CCAACTAGTATCTTACTTTTCATGCATGGCCAACTAGTACCCTACTTTTCATGGGCATGGCCAATTAGTATGCTACTTTTCATGTGCATGGACAACTAATATCCTAATTTTCATGTGCATGGCCAACTAGTACCCTACTTTTCATGTGCATAGCCAACTAGTACCCTACTTTTCATGTGCATGGCCAACTAGTACCCTACTTTTCATGTGCATGGCCAACTAGTATCCTACTTTTTATGTGCATGGCCAACTCGTACCTACTTTTCATGTGCATGGCCAACTAGTACCCTACTTTTCATGTGCATGGCCAACTAGTATCCTACTTTTCATGTGCATGGCCAACTAGTAACCTACTTTTCATGTGCATGGCCAACTAGTATCCTACTCTTCATGTGCATGGCCAACTAGTATCGTGATTTTCATGTACATGGCCAACAAGTATCCTACTTTTCATGTGCATGGCCAACTAGTACCCTACTTTTCATGTGAATGGCCAACTAGTATCCTACTTTTCATGTGCATGGCCATCTAGTAGCATGATTTTCATGTGCATGGCCAACAAGTATCCTACTTTTCATGTGCATGGCCAACTAGTAACCTACTTTTCATGTGCATGGCCAACTAGTATATTACTAATCCTAGCTATGACCTAAAAGTTAACATTGATGGAAGTAGACGTACACTGATGGACTTTGCCATGATGCAACAATTGAGGATTCCACAATTACATTAAAATGTGATTCTAATAGAGCAAATAGGTATATATGTTCAACTGAGCAATTACAATTTACTACTTATTTGGTGAAAGGAAATCATTCGTTCATTCATTCACTCGCTCGCTCGCTCATATTGATGGTCATTCAAACTACATGTACATACACAAGTCAAAATAAATGAAATGTTGAGTTTGATGACTGACAATCAATGTCCAGCATACTTCAATGATGTACGTAAACTCAATGAAATATGTATGATAGCCTGAATATATATACACAGTATATACCCTCACAATTCAATAAGCAAAAGAGTAAGAGGAGCGTTACCATGGTATCCACCATCCCAACATTGAAAATTCCAAATGTTTACTCACACAGAAAAAATACATATGATGTGACGTTCAAATTGTTATTATTTTGCAATTTCATTTGATTTTATCAAAAATGGCTGCCAGTCAGCCAAAAATAAATTGATGTGCCAAGGTAAACTCTATTAAAAGTATTATGTTCTAAATCAGTGTAGTACATCTTTGATCAAACGATGTCTGAAAAGAAAAAACATTGGATTCACTCATGGACAGGCGTGTTGATGAACAGAATA